AATAAAATAAAATAAAATAAAATAAAATAAAATAAAATAAAATAAAATAAAATAAAATAAAATAAAATAAAATAAAATAAAATAAAATAAAATAAAATAAAAAAATAAAATAAAATAAAATAAAATAGGGAAATTAAAAGGAAAAAAATAATTGAATGGAAAAAATTGGGAAATGAAAAGGAAAAAAAATAATTGAATGGAAAAAAAATTGGGAAATTAAAAGGAAAAAAAAAATTGAATGGAAAAAAAATTCTAAGAGAAAAAAAAATAAAAGAAAAAAAAATTGGGAAATTAAAAGGAAAAAAAATATAATTGAATGGAAAAAAAATTGGGAAATTAAAAGGGAAAAAATGAAATTAAAAAAAAAAAGAAATTCTAAAAGAGGAAAAAAAATTAAAAAATGGGAAATGAAAAGGAAAAAAATAATTGAATGGAAAAAAATTGGGAAATGAAAAGGAAAAAAAAATTAATTGAATGGAAAAAAAATTCTAAGAGAAAGAAAAAATTAAAATAAAATAAAATAAAATAAAATAAAATAAAATGGAATAAAATAAAATAAAATGGAATAAAATAAAATGGAATAAAATAAAACAGAATAAAATAAAATAAAATAAAATAGGGAAATTAAAAGGAAAAAAATTAATTAAATGGAAAAAAATTGGGAAATTAAAAGGAGAAAAATTAAATGAAAAAAATTTGGGAAACTAAAAGGAAAAAAAATTAAATTAAAAAAAAAAAAGAAATTCTAAGAGAAAAAACAAATTGGGAAATTAAAAGGAAAAAAAATTAAATGAAAAAAGGATTGAAATGTGTTGGAAGTGAGGTGAAAAAAAAAAAGAAAGTAAATTGGGGATTTAAAAAAAAAAGGGGGTTTATAATAATTTTAAAAATTAAATTTAAAAAAATTAAATTAAAAAAATTAGAAAAATTAGATTTAAAAAATTAAATTAAAAAAAGAAATTAAATTGTAAATTTAAAATAAGGGAATTTAAAATACTAAAAAAAATTAATAAAAAACTAAATTAAAAAATAATAATTTTTTAAATTAAAAATTAAATTTAAAAAAATTAAAATTAAAAAAAAAGAAATTAAATTGGAAACTTAAAAATAATTCAATTGGAGATTTCAAAAAATTCAATTGAAAAGAAAGAAATTAAATAAAATAAATAAATTAGATTGGAAATTAAAAAAAAAAACTAAATTGGAAGAAGGAGATTAAATTGTAAATGAAAAAAACCCAAAGAGAAAATGAGAAATAATAAAATGGAATAAAATAAAATAAAATAAAATTGAATAAAATAAAATAAAATAAAATAAAATGGAATAAAATAAAATAAAATAAAGTAAAATGGAATAAAATGGAATAAAATAAAATAAAATGGAATAAAATAAAATAAAATGGAATAAAATAAAATGGAATAAAATAAAACAGAATAAAATAAAATAAAATAAAATAGGGAAATTAAAAGGAAAAAAATTAATTAAATGGAAAAAAATTGGGAAATTAAAAGGAGAAAAATTAAATGAAAAAAATTTGGGAAACTAAAAGGAAAAAAAATTAAATTAAAAAAAAAAAAGAAATTCTAAGAGAAAAAACAAATTGGGAAATTAAAAGGAAAAAAAATTAAATGAAAAAAGGATTGAAATGTGTTGGAAGTGAGGTGAAAAAAAAAAAGAAAGTAAATTGGGGATTTAAAAAAAAAAGGGGGTTTATAATAATTTTAAAAATTAAATTTAAAAAAATTAAATTAAAAAAATTAGAAAAATTAGATTTAAAAAATTAAATTAAAAAAAGAAATTAAATTGTAAATTTAAAATAAGGGAATTTAAAATACTAAAAAAAATTAATAAAAAACTAAATTAAAAAATAATAATTTTTTAAATTAAAAATTAAATTTAAAAAAATTAAAATTAAAAAAAAAGAAATTAAATTGGAAACTTAAAAATAATTCAATTGGAGATTTCAAAAAATTCAATTGAAAAGAAAGAAATTAAATAAAATAAATAAATTAGATTGGAAATTAAAAAAAAAAACTAAATTGGAAGAAGGAGATTAAATTGTAAATGAAAAAAACCCAAAGAGAAAATGAGAAATAATTAAATCACAATAAATAATTAAAGGGTAAATAATGATTTAATGATAGAAATTTAATAATAATAATAATAATAATGAATAGAAAATGAATAAATGATATAAGGAAGGAATCACAAAAATAAGGAATAAAAAATTAAATAAAAAATAATAAAATAAATAAATAAAACATTAATTAATTAATTAATACGATAAATAAATAATAAAGTAAATAAATAATTAAATAAATAATAAAAGAAATAAATTACCCACTAAATAAATAATTAAATAAATAATGCAAGAAATAAATAATAACGCGAATAAATAAAAAACTAAATAATAAAAGAAATAAATGATAAAATGAATAAATAACACAAGAAATAAAAAATAAGATAAATAATAAAATGGATAAATAATACGATAAATAAATAATAAAATGAACAATACAATAAATAAATAATAGAATAAATAAATAATAAAATAAATAGATAATAAAATAAAGAAATAAAATGAGTAAATAATAAAATAAAGAATGCAATAAATAAATAATAAAATGAATAAATAATACAAGAAATAAATAATAAAATGAATAATTAATAAGCGAAATAAACAATAAAATGAATAAATAATAAAATAAATAAATAGTACAAGAAATAAATATAAATAAATAAATAATAAATAAACAAACAATAAAATAAATAAATAATAAAATGAATAAATAATAAAATAAATAAATAGTACAAGAAATAAATAAAAATAAATAAAAAAGAAATAAATAATAAAAGAAATAAATAATAAAATAATTAAATAATGAAATGAATAAATAATACAAGAAATAAATAAAAATAAAAAAGTGAAACGAATAAATAATAAAATAAATAATGAAATGAATAAATAATACACTAAACCAACAATACGCCAAATAAACACCAAATTAAATTCTAATTAACCGCACTAATTAACAATCAAAACCGAACAGAACGATCCAAAACCAAGGGACCAAAAAAAAAACCAAGTTTTGGGGTTGTTTTTTAATTTGGGGAGGGGGCGGCGAACCTTGCAGGCCACCCTATGGGGGCATTTCTTGCCCAGCCCCAGGGGGGGGGAGATCACGCGCAACAAACTGTACATGTCCCGGTAGTGGATGCGCCCGCTGCAAGAGACACACGTTAGTGGGGGGCGAGACCCCTCCCCAAAAACCGGGACACCCCCCCGGGACCCCCCCAGAACGGGGAGAGCCCCCCGAGAACCGGGACACCCCCGGGAGTTTGGGGGGGTTTGGGGCAGTTTGGGGGGATTTGGGGCACTTTGGGGACAATTTGGGGTTTGGGGGCAAGTTGGGGGACCCTTTGGTGGCACTTTGGGGACATTTTGGGGGACACTTTGGTGGCGCTTTGGGGACACTTTGGGGACAGTTTGGGGACAGTGTGGGGACATTTTGAGGACACTTTGGGAGACAGTTTGGGGACAGTTTGGGGACACTTTGAGGACGCTTTGGGGACACTTTGGGGACAGTTTGGGGACAGTGTGGGGACACTTTGAGGACACTTTGGGGGACACTTTGGGGACACTTTGGGGGCACTTTGGGCGTTGCTTGGAGGCGCAGTTTGGGGACACTGGTGGCACTTTGGGGACAGTTTGGGGGCACTTTGGGGGCTTTTGGTGGCAGTTTGGGGGGTTTTGGGAGCGATTTGGGGACACTTTGGGGGCTTTTGGTGGCAACTTGAGGGGTTTTGGGAGCGATTTGGGGACTCTTTGGGGGCGCTTTGGGCGCTGCTTGGAGGCGCAGTTTGGGGACCCTTTGGTGGCACTCTGGGGACACTTTGGGGACCCTTTGGTGGCACTCTGGGGACCCCCGGGGGCTGACCAGGAAGGAGCAGAGGAAGATGAAGGACACGAAGTAGAAGTAGGCGAACTCGTTGCCGCACTCGTCCTCCTTGATGCCCGAGTTCTCGTCGCACGGCTTGCCGCTGAGGCACGACAGCGTGATCTCGTGCCACGCCTCGCCGGTGGCCCTCCTGGGGACACCGAGGGACATGGGTGACACATGACACATGCCAACACCGAGGGACACGGTGACACATGCCAACACCGAGGGACACACACATGAGCTCGTGCCATGCCTCCCCGGTGGCACTCCTGGGGACAGGGGACACCGAGGGACATGGGCATGGCAGCGGGGGCTGTCATAGCGACGGTGGCACCAGTGGGGTGCTGGGGTGGCACTGAGTACCCAGGTGGCACTGGGATTACGCCAGGTGACACCGAGGGACATGGGTGACATGGGTGACACGTGATCTCGTGCCACGCCTCGCCGGTGGCACTCCTGGGGACACCGAGGGACATGGGTGACATGGGTGACACGTGATCTCGTGCCACGCCTCGCCGGTGGCACTCCTGGGGACACCGAGGGACATGGGTGACATGGGTGACACGTGATCTCGTGCCACGCCTCGCCGGTGGCACTCCTGGGGACACCGAGGGACATGGGTGACATGGGTGACACGTGATCTCGTGCCACGCCTCGCCGGTGGCACTCCTGGGGACACCGAGGGACATGGGTGACATGGGTGACACGTGATCTCGTGCCACGCCTCGCCGGTGGCACTCCTGGGGACACCGAGGGACATGGGTGACATGGGTGACACGTGATCTCGTGCCACGCCTCGCCGGTGGCACTCCTGGGGACACCGAGGGACATGGGTGACATGGGTGACACGTGATCTCGTGCCACGCCTCGCCGGTGGCACTCCTGGGGACACCGAGGGACATGGGTGACATGGGTGACACGTGATCTCGTGCCACGCCTCGCCGGTGGCACTCCTGGGGACACCGAGGGACATGGGTGACATGGGTGACACGTGATCTCGTGCCACGCCTCGCCGGTGGCACTCCTGGGGACACCGAGGGACATGGGTGACATGGGTGACACGTGATCTCGTGCCACGCCTCGCCGGTGGCACTCCTGGGGACACCGAGGGACATGGGTGACATGGGTGACACGTGATCTCGTGCCACGCCTCGCCGGTGGCACTCCTGGGGACACCGAGGGACATGGGTGACATGGGTGACACGTGATCTCGTGCCACGCCTCGCCGGTGGCACTCCTGGGGACACCGAGGGACATGGGTGACATGGGTGACACGTGATCTCGTGCCACGCCTCGCCGGTGGCACTCCTGGGGACACCGAGGGACATGGGTGACATGGGTGACACGTGATCTCGTGCCACGCCTCGCCGGTGGCACTCCTGGGGACACCGAGGGACATGGGTGACATGGGTGACACGTGATCTCGTGCCACGCCTCGCCGGTGGCACTCCTGGGGACACCGAGGGACATGGGTGACATGGGTGACACGTGATCTCGTGCCACGCCTCGCCGGTGGCACTCCTGGGGACACCGAGGGACATGGGTGACATGGGTGACACGTGATCTCGTGCCACGCCTCGCCGGTGGCACTCCTGGGGACACCGAGGGACATGGGTGACATGGGTGACACGTGATCTCGTGCCACGCCTCGCCGGTGGCACTCCTGGGGACACCGAGGGACATGGGTGACATGGGTGACACGTGATCTCGTGCCACGCCTCGCCGGTGGCACTCCTGGGGACACCGAGGGACACCAAGGGACACAGATGACATGGGTGACACATGAGCTTGTGCCACGCCTCGCCAGTGGCACTCCTGGGATCAGGGGACACCGAGGGACATGGGCATGGCAGCGGGCGCTGTCATAGCGACGGTGGCACCAGTGGGGTGCTGGGGTGGCACTGGGTGACACTGGGGTGGCACTGAGTACCCAGGTGGCACTGGGATTATGCCAGGTGACACCAAGGTGGCACTGGGATGGCACCAGGAGATGTGCTGGGGTGGCAGTGGGTGACCCTGGGGTGGCACTGGGATTCCACAAGGTGACACAGGGGTGGCAGTGGCTGCCCAGGTGACACTGGGGTGGCACTGGGATTATGCCAGGTGACACTGGGATTCCACCATGTGACACTGGGGTGGCACTGGGATTCCACCAGGTGACACTGGGGTGGCACTGGGATTCCACCAGGTGACACTGGGGTGGCACTGGGATTATGCCAGGTGACACTGGGATTCCACCAGGTGACAGAGGGGTGGCACTGGGTGACACCGGGGTGGCACTGGGATTCCACCAGGTGAAGTGCTGGTGTGGCACTGGGTACCCAGGTGGCACTGGGATTATGCCAGGTGACACAGGGGGGGCACTGGGATTCCACCAGGTGAAGTGCTGGTGTGGCACTGGGTACCCAGGTGGCCCTGGGATTATGCCAGGTGACACAGGGGGGGCACTGGGATTCCACCAGGTGACACAGGGGTGGCACTGGGTGACACCGAGGTGGCACTGAAATTCCACCAGGTGACACTGGGGGGCAGTGGGTGACACAGGGGTGGCACTGGGGTCACACCAGGTGACAGAGGGGTGGCAGTGGCCGCCCAGGTGCCACCCAGGTGCCACCTCGGTGCCCCCCAGGTGCCACCCGGGTGCCGGGCTCACCTGAAGAGCAGCATCAGCGCCTGGAAGAAGGTGCGGAAGTTGTTGTGCTGGGTGATGGCCGACTCATCGTCCTCCTCCTCGATGCACTGGGATTCCACCAGGTGACACTGGGGTGACACTGGGTACCCAGGTGACACTGGGGTGGCACTGGGATTATGCCAGGTGACACTGGGATCACACCAGGTGACACTGGGGTGGCAGTGGGTGACACAGGGGTGGCACTGGGGTCACACCAGGTGACAGAGGGGTGGCAGTGGCCGCCCAGGTGCCACCCACGTGCCGCCCGGGTGCCACCCAGGTGCCACCCGGGTGCCGGGCTCACCTGAAGAGCAGCATCAGCGCCTGGAAGAAGGTGCGGAAGTTGTTGTGCTGGGTGATGGCCGACTCATCGTCCTCCTCCTCGATGCCGATGTTCCCAAACACCTGCGGGGGCCCGGGGCAGCTCAGGGGGGCTGGGGGGGTCACCTGCAC